GCTCATGAAATCTTAATGACATCCTGAGGCTGGCCGGAGAGCAGCCTTTCAAGTGGAGGCCAGGAAGTGTTCCCGCCCGCCCGTTGGGCACACTCCCTCTGGCTGGGCAGCGGGGCCCGCTAGTTCTCCAAAGTCTACCCCGGGTGAGCGTCAAATACCCTGGTCTCCTGCCTCCAGCCCCCCGGCCCCTGCAGCCTAGGTCTCTGCCCCTCAGGGAGAAAGGGGGTCTCCCCGCCCGCCCGGCTCAGTCCCTGCCTCCTCTCCGCAGCCCTGCAGGCTGCGCCAGCCCTTCCCCCTCCAGGCTCAGGGCTTCTCCTGCCAGTGTCAAGACCAAGGTCAAGGTCACCTGCAGCTTCCAGCCAGAGCCTCCCTGTGGGACATGCTCGTGGCTGTGGTCCATGACCGGTGCCCTCAGGAAGGGCCCCTTCCCACCTCCGTGCCCCTCCAGGTTGCTTTTTGGAAGTAATTTCCATGTAATGAGAACACAGGAAAACCTCATTATTTGAGACACCACTAATTAGGGGTTTGTGATCAGCCTGCCTGGCCTGCTGAAGTTGACATTTGCTTTCTCTACAGACACTGCAAATTAACAGCCAGACAAGATCACCGGGACCTTTAAAAAGCCAGCAGTTCCCAGCCAGCAGCCAGCGGCTACTACACGTGCTGCCTCCCTACCAGGTGTGCTAATTATGAGCCTCTCATTCAGAGGAGGTGCCAAGAGGTCGTCCAAGTGGGGCTCACAGGGGCTCCACCTTGAGAGGCCCCAGGGCAGCCCCCAGAGGGCTGCACAGTTGGACCCTTGTTCTGGTTAGGCTATATAAAGCAACAGATTTAATACAGAACACATAATTTATAGGATTATTTTACAACAGTCACTCAAAGAGGCAAATGCAGGAGAGTAAAGATCTGTCAATGTGTTACAGACCCAAAGAATCCAGCTGAGGGCCTGGATTCCACGGCAATGTCCTGCACAAGTCCAGCTGGAGGCCCAGAGCCCAGGACAATGCCTCCTGCAAATCTATTTCACGGATCTGCACTGGGAAGACCCAAAGGTCAGTGGTAGAAGCTAGAAAGTCTGTGCCACAGGGATGAAGGATCTGTGCCAGCAGGCTGAAGGGTCTGCACTGGAGCCAAGAAGCGATGCTCAAGGTAAGGACCAGAGCTCCCCTGAAGAGAACCACAGCCATCCTTTGCAACAGGGAGGACCCGAGCTCCTCCGACGTGAACAGCTGGGTTCATATCAGGAAAACCAGCCTGACAAGCTCCTCCAGGAGAATCAGCAGTGCCATCTTCCCCTCCAGTTCTCCTTTCTTGCTGCTGGCAACAATCCTGGGGTGGACCCTCCACACCCAGCACCATGCCAACTCGGTTCAGCTGGGTGTCACAAGTTGCCTGGTACTTAACACACCACACCCCTGTCATGGAAGAGGGCTCCAGGCCCTGGAGGCTGAAGGCTTTTCCCGGATCACAGTGGGGACACCTCAGAAATGTGACCTAGGCCCTCCAGGGCCCCCAGACACAGGGGGTGGTGAAGAGGGGCTGTCAGCGGGATCCAGAGCCCCAGGAGAGCAGTTCCCATCTCTTCCTCAGAATAAAGGAGGAGTGGACCAGCTGAATCTGAGCTCCCTCCTCTAGTCCTGATGGATTCTGCCCAGTCTGCGGGTCCTGGAAGGACAGGGCCATGGGGCCCTTCTCCTTTGTAAATTGTGAGGTCCACAGAGGTCTCAGAGAGGGCCATGAGGGCACGAGGGACAGAGGCCCAGGGATCCTGTGGCCAGGGCAGATGCCTTGTACCAAAGGGAGAAAGGAAGGCTGGGTGAGGACCAAAGACAGAAGGTAGGAGCTGGAGGCTGGGAGGTGCTAGGAGGAAAGCCAGGGCCAGGGCTGCACTCCCAGGGCTCAGCCCGTCCTGAGGCCCGGCCATCCCAAGACTCCACCTCTTCCCGAGGCCCCGCCTCCCCTGGGCGCTGCCTCCCTCCTGGCCTCTGGGGCTGTGAACCTGGCCACGCCCCATGCTGTTCTTTTCCTTCCCATAAGCCACCACTCACGGCAAGCTCAGACACCTCAGAAGAACATTCCAGGAGTCACAGTGCTGGGGTCTCAGGTCAGGAGCAGACCAGGTGTCAGAGACACAGTGCATGTAGCTGTCCACACCCTTGCAGGGTGCTCCACTGTGACACCCTGAGGCACCCACCTGTGTGGCACATGGAGGCTCTCTGTCTCTTCTCACTCTGCCTCTGCACCCCCTCTACCTCCTAATCACCCTTCTCAGAGCCCAAAGCTCTCCTGGGTCTCCTGCCCACCCCTGCCTGATGCCCGCAGCCTTAGGAAGCAGATACTGGGGACTCTGCCACCTTGGATCAAATGAGGCAGCCCCTGGCTCTAGACTCATCCCTTACCCCCACCCCAACGAGGAAATCTGCAGCCTGCAGATCCCACCCCACCCTAAGTATCAGAGATGCTGGGATAGGCCTTCCTCCGCCAGACATGGGGGCTGGGGACACCGAGGACAGCAGTGGCCTTTGCCCTGCTGCCTGCGCTGGGAAGGGGCAAGGCTGACAGAGTTCCTGGGGACGGGCATCAGGAAGGGCATGAGCACCCCTAGGCCCTGCAGGGGCAGCCTCCAGGCCTCAGTCCATGCCCACACCCCTGCGCTCTGCACCCCTTCCCACAGACCCACAAGCTGACCATGCTGCAGGTCTTTATGTGCCTCTGTGCCCAGGAGCAGGGCCATGCCTGCCCCTTGCTGTCTCCCTAGCGTCCTGCAGGCATGCACGGGAGAGAGGGAGTACTGGGGAGGAGACTGGGGAGGGAGGAGGGGCTGTGGTGGGAAGGGAAGCCGGCGGCACCTGGCGCAGGGGGCAGCATCACCCCAGGAGCAGCCTGACCCGCCTGTTGCCCCAGGTCACTCACACTGTCCGCCTGGTGTGACAGGACCGGAGGGGACGCCTGGGTCCTTGCAGCCATCAGCCTCCAAGGACGGCAGAACCCTCCTGTACCGGGAACCTTCAGCTCTTTGCTGCTTCCATTTTTCTCATTTCAATAATTCTTGCAGCCCATGTTGTGTAAATAAAATTATTCTTCCCCAAAAAGCCATTAGCAGTGCCCGACATTAATTCCCCTGCAATCTGTGTAATTAACTGCATGTAGCACAGGGCGTCAGAAGATCCGCTTGCTAATCGCCACTCCTCCGCTCCACGCACCTAATTAAATCTCCTTCCTGTTTATCCACTTACAGGATCCTCTGCAAAGACAGGAACCGCCAGGAAACCGGCTGCAATAAATCATCTTTTAGTAATTTTGGAGGCTGCAGTTCCACGTGGTGCGTTTGCATTTCCTTCCACTGCCGAGGTTCCCACCCCTGCGGGAGCTGGGCTCTCTGGGCTCCTCGGAAAACATTTTCTGCACCAGCCGGAGCTCAGGACTGAATGCTGAATGTCCTTGCGTACAGGGAGGAGACAGGAGCCAGCACCAGATCGGGCCCTGGATCTTCCCGTTGGAGCCATTCACATTCCAGCCTTCCAGCCTTAGGGCCAGGGCCTGGGGGCCCCCAACCAGAGTGCGGGGCCACTCAGGGCTGCTGAGGCTGCAGGGAGGAGTTTCCCTGTTCTAAGGGCCCAGGCAGGGCAGCTGTGGCCTGGAGAACCAGCTGGAGTTTCCTGAGATTCCGCGGCCTGGGGCCAGTTGTGGAGGTCAAGAAGGTGCTTATCACAGAGCCTGGCAGGCGGGTGGGGGGTAGGGGGTGTAGGTGGTAGAGGAGGGGAGAAGGGCGTGAGGGCCGGGAGCTTTAGCAAGTCCTACAGCCAGCAGGAGAGGTGCTCCGAGGCCTCGGTGGAGCCTGGGGTGTCCTCCTCAAAGCGCCCGCACGCAGGACCACCAGCAGTGTGGGGGCATCGAGCCCTCACCATCTGCCAACCGCATGTGTCTGCTTCACAGCCAGCCCATGAGGAGTCAAGTCACCCTCTCCCATGAGCAGGCTTGGGGCAGGGAGGTCACAGCGCAGCTGGTGCAGGAGGAGACACAGACCTGGGAGAGAGGGGGGTGGGCAGGCCCAGCAGGCTCGTGGTGTCACACTGACGGGCACAGGGTCTCTCGGGTGTCAGACAGCAAGTGCGCGGCCTGTGCAGAGACCAAGAGCCATGGGCGGATCTCACAGCCTACGAATTAGGCCTCAATAGAGCATAATTTCAAAAAATCCAAGTCCGTGGCTGCAGAGCTGTCCCTGAAGCTCTGGGTTACTGATTTCCCTTGAATCCTGGTTTCTTCTCCCTCACACTGAGGTAAGGGTCAGCAGCGGGCAAGGCAGCTTCTCGGTGCTGGGTGGCACAGCAACAAGTGACAAACTTGGGGATGGACAGCCGGGGGGCTCAGGAGCCCCACAGGTTGCAGGAAGCCCTGGCGTGGGGCCACTGCCCCTTCCTGGGTGGGTGAACCATCTCCTCCTGCAAGGTGTCCCTGAGTGGCTCCTTATCAAGGGGCAGAGGGAGCATCTACAGCACAAAACAAGGCCATGTAAAGGCGGGGCAGAGCCTGGGGTCTCCTGCAGCCGGACAGAGGGCACAGGAACGCTCCTCCCCAGCCCCTTGCGGGGAGTGCGCACTGCCCCTCCTTGACTTTGGACTTGTGGCCGCAGGGATGCGTGAGAATCCGTCCCTGTTGTTTTACACCGCGTAAGCCAGTAATTGGCTGCGACAGCCCCAAGGACACAGGAAACAGCTGCTGAATCAGGCCCTGCACCACGCCAAGACCCCAGCTGCCTCACTGCATGCTAAGTTCAGGAGCTCAAGGTCTGAAGTCTGACGGGAGCTGGGCCCGAGCACAACGACCACAGACACCGTGGTGCTGCGCCTGCTGGCTGCCTGCTCCTCGGCCTGCACCGGCCGTTTTTTTTTTTTTTTTTTGCAGTACTGGGGATTGAATTCAGGGCCTTCTTGCTGAACTACCCACCTCAGCCCTTTCTTATTGTTTGTTTTGAGACAGGGTCTCACTAAGTTGCCCAGACTGGGCTTGAACTTGAGATCTTCCTGCTTCAGCACCCCAGAATGCTGGGATTACCATGCCTGGCTAACCTTCACCATAATAGCCTGTGGAAGCCACACCATCACCCAGATGGGGAAACTGAGGCAGAAATCAAGTAAGTTGGCCCAAACCACAGCTAGCAAGTCACCTGAGGCGAGAGCTGAGCAGATAGAACCCAGTCACGGGACCCCAGGGCCCAGACCAGCTCCGTCCTGGGAACGTTTTGCACACAGCTGCAAGATTGATGGCTGCAGCACCCTCAGCAGCGTGCTGTTTCGCAGGCCGACTTTGCTGTGAGGGGAAAGCCTGAGGGCGCATGGTGCGTGTATCTGCTTCACCTCTCCGTGAGGTCAGGGCGGGCCGGGCCGGGCCGCAGCAGCATCCAAGCCACCAGCTGGCCTCCGCAAAGGGGACGAGTGATCTGAGCAGGGACTCCCGTCCTGGGTCTCCCCAGCCTGCTGTCCCCAGCTGCCTCTGAGGACAGGGCGCTGGTGCTGGCCCGGGTCCCGTGACGGCTTGCCGGCCTCTACCATGTGGAGTCAGCACCTCTGGACGCTGGTCCTCAGGCTGAGGTGGGCGTGCCCCTCGGTGGGGAGCCGAGCAAGCAGAGTGGGCGGACAGCGCTGGGCTGGACACCACCCTGGCGGGGGCCTCAGCTTCCCATCTTCTCCCTTCCGAGCCCTCTTCCTACAGACCTGCCAGGCCCACCAACATGGGTCCCACACTTCGGTCAGCATAGGACGGCTCAGATCCCAAAGCTGGGACCAGGGCCCAGCCCAGGGGGTCACAACCATTTCCCTGCCCTGCCTGGAGCTGGGGGCATCCGTGGCCAGGGCCACGATTGCCTTCCACAGCACATTTGTCCCCGGCACCCTGCCAAGCAGCCTCCTCCCGTTAATTCCGTTCCCATTAGTCCCGTGCAGCAAATCTGTCACGACCAGTCCCCTCCTGGCTCATATTTTTTACTTTTAATTATGATCAAATGTGGACTATTGAGTAGTTTGATGCATTTTAGGTGTCTACAGAGGTTTCTTCTTAATAATGCAATTGCGAGGCTCTAATGGCCCATAACTGGGGTCATTACTGCACTGTATATTCAGTGGGCCTCCAAAGTTGGACATCTCTCCCCAAGAGGGCTGTGGGGGGAACGGGGTGGCACTGGATGAGGAATGACAGTGGCAAAGCTTTCTCGGGCCCCAGGTGAGCTCTTTCCTTCTGTGGGAGGGCAGAGGCTCAGGGTGGGACCTCCCAGCTGTGGGGACTGGCCACAGGGGGGAGCACTGCGACTCGGTGACGTCCTGCACCTGGGAAGCAGACGTCCTTCGGAATGGCTCCTGCTCACCAGCGTGTAAGCCCCGGAGACCTCGTCCCTCCAGGTCCACTCCCACAGGCCCGTCCGTTAACACCACGCAAAGAGGACTAAATTTCAACACAAGAGCCTGTCGGGGTGCCCTCAGACCATACCCAGGCCATGTGCCTTCTTCTGAGGGGTGTCAGGTGACCCGTGGGCATGGACCTCCATGGGTCCTGACACTGTCCCGGCCACCTCAGCCCTGCACCTCTTGCTGCCGCAGTGCCTCGTGGAGCAGGGCAAACTGCCCCCAAGCCCCTGGAAAGTGGGGTACATGATCGAGTCCCCGCGACAGAACTCAGCCAACCCTGAGCGGGGGTGTAACCAGATGTGGGGGCACCTGTGGCAGGTGCAGCCGGGAGGAAGCCTGACATCGTGGCCGTGGCCATGAAGCGCACCTGTGACCAGGCCACAGCTCCACCCTCCCCGTCTTCCCTCCTGGACTCACCAGGCTTTGGCTCCCTGTCGTTGTCTGCTGCTGTCCCCCATCACCTCAGCTGCTGAGTCCCTGGGCACCCGTGACCTCCTCCTGGCCACGGTCACCATCACAGAATTTGCTGGCACCTGCTGTGTGTCAGATACTGGCTGCCCAAGGTGGACACGTCGGGGGAGTGCCGTGAGCAAATGAACCGCAGAACTGCTGACCATGGAATCACACCTGTGGGGTACGTGTATGGGCCCAACACCCAGCGCCCCTGTCTGTCCCTGGCCGTGATTCCCTGCTGGGCGGCAGATCCGAGCTGCTCACTGGTCAGCCTCAGGCTGGAGGAGTAAAGGGTGTGAAGGTAGCTCCCTTTATTCTGACTAAGGACACCAGTGCCAGTGTTGACCGAAAGCCCATCACCAACTCAGGGAGGAGCATCTCCAGAGCCAGCACGGGCTCTGCTCTCTGGGACCAGCCACAGGGGCCAGCAGGGGCACCGCGGGGCAGGGCCTGGCCTCCGTCTGTTCCCTTTGGAGCCAAAGCTTATCTAGTTGTGCGGAGGCTCAGGCCTCCCAGTGACCTTGCGACTCTCCAGCCTGGCCTGCACCTGCTTGGGGCCTCCCCGGCTGACGGGAAGACCAGAAGGACGACAAACAGAAAATACTTCCACTGCGTGCGTTACACAGGAAATGCTCCGAAACGGTCAAATTTGCAGGTCTGTCATTTCGCAGAGTCCTGGAGGGAGGTCGCAGATGGCCCCGTCATGGCCACAGAGTTCCTGCCGGGGGAGACGCGCAGGGGAGGATTAAACAGCTGGACCTGCTTCCCACCCTGCCTAGCACAGCCCCGGGCTTGCACCATCGCTGGGGAGTTGAGGAGAGTGAGCGGGAAACCCACAGCTCTGGAGCGGCCCCGGGCCCAGATGTTGGAAGGTTAATGGTCTGGTTGGTTCTCCAGAGTGGAGGCCCCGACAAAGTTCAGAGTGCAGCAGACCCTGGGGGCCAGCAGCCTGGAACCAGCGGGGCAGCATCAGGCAGAAGGGACACTGAGGCTGGGGCCAGGGTGAGTGCGGCCTACCAATGTCCCTGCTGGCTGAAGTGGCCAGGCCTTTGTCCCCGCTGTGTCAATCCCCAGACACAGCTGCCCACAGACAAGGTCACTGTCTGTGCTGAGGGGCTCCTGCTGCTGGGCTGGTGGGACTGTGGTCCTCTTCAGGGGTCTCTGCACTTCCGGTGGCACCCCCCTACTCATGAGAGCACACCCAGGAGAGCAGCCCCACAGGATTCCCTGCCCTGCCTTCCAGGGGCTAAGGCCTCTGTTCCCGTCCACGTACAGCCACGACAGGGCAAGGGGGCACCAGGGGGTCCCGAGACTGGCAGCGCCCTGTGCTGCTGTGAAAAATGTGTGAGCCTGGGTGACTGAGACAGAGCAGGAATGAATTCATTATGGTTCAGGAGGCTGCAGCATCCAGCAGCCAGGTGCCAGCGGGCCTGGCCAGTGCGGGCGCCTCACTGCTCCCGAGGGGACCTTGTGGCCGTGTCTTTGTGGCAGAAGGCAGAAAGCAGGCGAGGGGTGTCCCGCGTGGAGCCTTCCCTAAAGGCCTTGATCTCTGTCCTGAAGAAGGAGGCCCTCATCTTAGAGCCTCACGTCCTTTAAGTCTGAACACCTGCATTTTGGAGGGACACCTGTGCCGTGGCCAAAGCCACCCCAGACTCAAGGCAGCACAGTCAGGCAGGCTGTACCCCTCCAGGTCACCCTGGTTGGCGGGGAGGCACATGGCTCTCCCTTCCTGGAGCCCAGCGTGTGTCCCCACGAGACCGTGGGGTGTCGGTGGGCCCCGTGTGGCGCTGCACACCCTCGGGCTGAGCCCCTGACTTTCAGCATCACACAGCGGTGCCCAGCCCACTCTGTGGAGACTGTGTGTGATTCCCATGTGCCCTTTAAGGGTTGCGCTAGGCCGCAAGCTTATCCCTGTCGGCACCAGCAGAACTATAGCTCACTGCCCGACACAGCCCTCAGCACCCAGCAGCCACGTGGCCCGTGGTACCTCTAGCTAGGCAAGGAGGGGTCCAGCTTCAGCCCTGATTTATGCTCTTTCCTTGCAAAACGTCTGCTGGGTGCTCTGAAGACTCCAAGTGCCCTCTGCTGACCCATGAGTGTGCCTTCCCAGCTGCCCCGCTGCAGACCCACAAGTCACCTTCCACCCGCTGACATGAGGACCACTTTCCTGCTCCCTTTCAGGGCTGGCAGGAAGAGTCAGGCCCCAGGCCACTCTGCAGAGTGAAAGACCCCTCCTGGGAGGGCCAGTTGGCGTGGCCAGGTGACCCCAGGAGAGGGACAACAGTAGGCGTCTGCCTTGAGGAGGCCATAGGTAAAAAGTGTCCCACACCCACGCTGCCTTGGTCCATTTTGCTGCTGTTGTCCAAACCGAAGACGGCAATTTCCGGAGAACACAGGCACACTTCCCACAGCTCCAGGGCCGCCAGCTTCACTGTCTGCTGCAGGCGGCCTCCGACACCGCTGCGCTGAGGCTGAGTCCTAGGGACACTCGCAGACACAGGCAGCCCCAGGATATCTGTCACACCCTGGGGACCAGGACCAGATGGCAAGGTGCCAGTCCTGGGAGCCTCTGCCCCTGCCCCTCCATGATGGCTGGAGACAGAGGGGCCACGGGGGGCGGGGGTCTTAGAAAACAGTCCAGCCGGTCTGCATCCAGCCAGCTGAGGGGCTGGCCCCGGAAGGACATGGAGGTCCCATGGCTTGGGGTCAGACCAGCTGTTGCTAATTATCAGGAGGGACAAGAAACATCATAGGCCGCTCCAGAGGCCATCCTGGGCAGAGGCCGGAGCCCCAGAGGGAAGGGCAGGAAAGAAGCAAACACTCACACACACAGTGGTCAGCTCCGTGTGTGTGCGTGTGTGTGTGTGTGTGTGTGTGTGTGTGTGTGTGTGATGCTAGGGATGGAACACTCGGGATTTTTCACACACCGGTAAGTGCTCTACCACTGAGCCACACCCTTGCCGCACTCTTTCATTGAGCCCATTACACACCCAGGGGCCACTGTCAGATGAAGGATAAAACATGGTCTGTCCACACCATGGAATATTAATCAGTCTTAAAAGAAGGGAATTCTCACACCCAAGGCCGTGTGAATGAACCTGAAGACATTGTGCTGAATGTGATAGGCCGGTAACAGAAAGACAAAATCATTCTGTTCATGCCAGGTCCCTGGAGCAGCCAAAGCCGTGGAGACAGAAAGTAGAGTGGTAGGCGCAGGGGCCGGGGCATCGGGTGTGAGGGGGCTGGGACATCAGGAAGGGTTCGGGTTCCAGAAGAGCTGGGGCAATGGCTGTGCGGTAGCGAGTGTGTGCTGCGTGCCCTGGATGTGCACTTGGGCGGGTTAGGGTGAGAAGTCTGTGTCGGGTGTGTTTTACCACAGTAACACGTGTTTCTTTTTGATCAGAAATCTGCTGGCAGAGTTTGTGCTGAGCAAGGGCGGTGCTGACAGCTAGCTGCGACGACTCCTGCCCACGTTCACGGCCGAGTTCTTCACACGAACACATGGCGCGGAGCTGTAAACACGCAAGGGCATGCTGGCCAGCCATGGGTGGATGGGTGGGCACGTGGTGGCCGGGGCATCTAGGGGACTCGTAAGCTGCCCTCCCCCCCCCCGCCCCCGGCCCGCTGCCGCCAGCCCACTGGTGCAGAGCCAGGGTCCGTTGTGCCTCGAGCCATCCAATGCGTGGTTAAGCACTTGGGGAAGGAGCAGACCAGGTAACTTCTGCTGTCAGTGAGGACGGTGAGGGGCAACGCGCAGGTCCCGGTCCTCGGACCACTCCCTCTTCCTGCTCCACCACTCCTGTGGCACAGCAGGACCAGCAAATCCCTCCCAGATGTTTGAGCAAGTGGGCTGTCAGGCCATCAGTAAATGATGAACAGTTGCCGTGGCAACAGCCCCAGCCCATGTTTCATCTCCTGGAGAGCCTGGCAAGCTCCAGTGATACTGGGGACAGCCAGGCTGGAAGGGAAGGGGCATTAGCCACCGGCCGCGCGCCAGGTGACACTGAGGCTCGAGCACAGGATCGGCGTGGCCCAGGTGAGATCGGGTTTCCAGGGAACAGAGGAGTGGGTTTGGGACAAGACAGGTGAACGGCACAGTCTGGGGAGCTCAGTTCAGATAGTCTAGCTGACTTCAGTTAAGAGGACAACTGAACCCCACTCTGGGCTTGGCGAGGTGTGTTCTACTGTCCAGGTCATAGGATCCCCTAAGCCTCAGTTTCTCCATCCATGAGACAGAGGTAGAAATTGTACCTGCTCTATCTGGTCTGCACAAACCGGAACATGTGTAAAGTCCTGGGCACACACAAGCATCGAATAAATGGTCATTAGCATGATCATTATTTGTAAAGAGACTTACATCTCTTACAGATGATGAGGAAAAACACTCTGTAGCTGTGTGTGTGTGTGTGTGTGTGTGTGTGTGTGTGCGCGCGCGCGCGCGCGCGCATCTGTCCACATATCACCACCCCTGCCGGTCTCGTGCCTCCGGGCATTCCTTTCTCCCTTCCTACAGCTGACCTTGAGCATTCTTCGCTCAAGGTCACCATTCTCCAGCTTCGTGTATCTGCAAGGCTTCGTGCTGCCCATGCTTGAAAGAGCCTTTCACTGAGAACAGACTCCTCCAGTGGCAGTTGGGTCTTTCTTTCTGCCCTTGTCCTGCAGCCAGGCATCCTTAGCGGGAAGTCTCTTCTTGTCTCCTGAGTGTGACGTATCTTTTTTCTTTGAAGACTTTCTACTGCCTGCTTGGAGCAGTCTGAGTACCGGATGCTTGCTGTAGTTCCCTTCTTGCCCCTCGTGCTTGGGGTTCATCAAGCTTCCTGGAGCCAGGATTTGAGGCTTACCCGGTCTGGACACTTGTGCCAGCTGTAATGTCTGCAGGTAGGTGGCTGTCCCCTCCCTCCGCCCTCCGGCCCAGCTGAGCATGGCTGTCCCTGGACCAATGTGTTTAGAGGTCTTCTCTCTGCAGGTCTCGCTTTGGAGGTCTGCGACTGCCACGTCTTCAAGCTCATCGATCTGTGTTTCTGCAGTGGGTAGTCACATCCAGCACAATCTTCATCTTGGACCGTACAGTCCTCGTCTCCAGGGCTTTGACCTGGGTCTCTTAGCGTGTCCGCACCTCCACCCCACAGCTCCAATCTTTCCTCTAGCTTTTCAGATATGCGGGGTGGAGTCCTCACAGCTGTCTTAATATTGCTGTCTGCTAAGCCTAACATCCAAGTAGTTCCCAGTTGGTTTCAACTAACTGGTTGTTTTTCTCCTTGTGGGACGGGTTTTCCTGCCTTTTTGTTGGATTTTTTATTGAATGCTCAACATTGTGAAGTTCACCCTGGTTGGATGCAGAATTTTTTTGTATTCACATAAATATACTTGAACTTAGTTTGAGAATGAACTGATTTTTAAAATGGTCTCACTTTTAGGCTTTATTATTTGGTACCAGAAATGCGTTTTCCCGTATTGGCTTAATTATTCCTCAGAGCAGAGCAAAGACTCAGGAGGCCTCTGGTCTGGTTGCTGCCGGTGCTGAGCGCAGTTCCGTCTGATCCCTTCACGGCGGATCTGTCCTCACGCTGGGGCAGTGACAGCCCTCTCCTGGAGCCTCTGCTGAGGGCCTGTGTCCCCTCTGTACAGCTATCCGGCCAGCGCCGCCCTGTGCTTCCCATCTCCGGCTCATCTCCTCCACTCAGGGCATCTGCCAGCCCTCCCTGGTGGTTCCTCTCCACATGCCACAGTCTGGAACCCCAAGGCTGTGAGCTGGAGCCAGTGGGGCTCGTCTCTGTCCTGTCCTTCCCCACCTAATGACCATCGTGTTAGAAACCATGCTCAATATATTGTGTCTACACAGGGGTGGGGAAATCGTTGAAGCTTTAGGGCAGATTCTTCCTGGAACCCCAAGTGTCCCTGAATCCAGAGAGTGAGGACACGGAGCCACCAGATATCCATGTCTGGGCTGCAGCATCAAGCCAGTAGTGTTCCTGTCCTTGTCATCTGTATTTTGAGAGAAGATGAAGGTAGCCTGCTGCGGGAGGTCCCACACCCACAGGGCCTGGTGGCCGCATCACCCCAATTTCAGTCTCAGCCTCTCTCCCATTATCGGGGAAGCCTGGTCCCTGTTTCCTGGTACCCTTGAGAGGGTGGACAGGTAGCCAGGGTCTGCACGCGCTGGGCCTCAGCTCTGAGACAGCTAGGTGAGGTGCTCCGGGCTGGGCAGGCATGGCTGCATCAGAAGAAGGGTGCTTCCCAGGAAGATGGAGTCACTCTGTGCCCCAGTGGCCCTGCAGGTCAGGGGCCAGGAGGGGACCCCAGTGGGAATGGGGAAAGTCTGCCCAGGTGGGAGGAGAAAAGCTGTTCGACAAGGGGGATGCTCACAGTCAGTGTCCATCACTAAGTAGACTGTCACTGGACAGCAGAAGGGGCCAGGCTGCCAGTGCTCGCCCCACCCACCCCTGCCACGTGTGCGGCACCAGGATGTCATGGCAGCTACTTCTCCACAGAAGGCCAGGCCGCATCACCCCATTTCTGGCTCTCCTACTGTCCTTGGCGTCCACAAGCCCCAGGAGAGCCACGCCAAACCTAGCCACCGATCTGCAGCCAACGGGTCTCCTTAATAAAAAATTTACTGCCAGTCCATGAAATGTTTAAACACCATATTTTACTAGTAAAAAGTGAGGCAGAAGCCAGCACCCTCTGAGAAAGGATTTTCCAGGCATTTTATAGATCAAAGCAATAGAATAAAATAAATATGACCGGTGATGGCGGTGAGAGTGAGTTCTGTCCAGGAAAGTGCTCGTGGAGCGGGGAGGGCTGTGGGCCGCTGGCGTGTCCACTGCAGAAGGGAGCCTGTGGGCATCTTCTCACCCACAGTGGATGATGACCACATCCTGGTGTCCCAAGAGCCCTGAGGGTATCTCCAGGGACCCGAGGCTCAGTGCAGACAGGCCTGAGCTCGAGGAAACAAAGCCTACCACAGGTTTCATCACACGCTGACCACAAAATCGGGGTGATGCAGCCCTCCTCCCAGACAAGACCCCAGTGACACACTAAGGACAGATCACTCACCCTGAATGTCACCGCTCCCGGCAGGGCGGCTTCGAGCTCTGCTCTCTCCTTGTCAAAACTCCGTAACTTCCAAACAGAGGGCCTGCATTCCTCCCTAGGGGACCTGCATGAACCTAGTTGTCCTGGCCGCAGAAAGGGGGCCTGAGCTGCCCCCGTCACCCCCGGTTCCGGCACCCGCAGCCCCAGGTGAAGTGTCTCCTGCTGCACCTTCTCTACATGGGGCAGGGTGGAAGTGAGGAGGAGGTGGGCACCGGGGGTTGGAGGAGAGGGGCTCACAAGAGCCTCGGGGGCCGAAGAACCAGCACCAAGCCCGGGAGCAGCCTGAACACTGAGCATGACCCAGGCTGCAGCACCCACGTGGGCCAGGCCCTGCCCACGTGCCCACCTAGGGGACCCCTCGGGGCCTCCCTAGCCCTGCTCCGCATGTGCTGGACCTCAAGGTGTGGCTAGAGGCTGGTCCCAGAGGTCAGGAAGGCCTCCCACCTCGGGCTGCAGCTTGCTGATATCTCATACCCATGGACACCTAGCCTGGCACCTGGCACAGAGACTGGCGAGGACCCTGGAGGGGGATGGAGGTGGGGAGGGGAGGGGAGGGGTCCTCCAGGCAGAGGACCTAGCCGTGGCCCAAAGACAGGAAGGCAGGGATGCACAGCATGACCAGAGGCAGGAAGTGCCGGTGTGGAGCTAGGACTGGGCGGGGCCCCGGGAAGCCCAGGCAATGACCCCGGGCCTCACGGCCAGACCGAGCTGTGGGGATGTCCCAGCCCCAGGGGCAGCCTCAGGAGTGAGAACTCAGGCCACACCGGATGCCAGGGGTGGTGAGAAGGATGGCAAGGGACAGAGGAAAGAAAAGTGGGTGCCCCTGGGCAGGCCGCCCCCCATCTGAGCTCAGGGTCCTGTCCTTAGCCACGTGCCACGCTGGCACCGAGCCCTTCCTTCTGGGCTCAGCAACACGGTCAGCAAAGACTCTTTCTCCTTCCAGATGCCCCAGCCCTTGTCTCTGTGCCCTCCTGGCAAAGTCCAGGCTGCACCGGCGCCTCCTCCCAACCTGCTGCCCACCCTCTGTGCCTGGCCGGGCCCAGCTGTCCACTTCCACCCAGCCCACCGCCCTGGCCCATCACTCACAATGTACGCCTTGGGCACGCTGAGCCCTTGGCCAGGGGTCCCCGTCCTCCCAGGCCTTCAACTGACGCTGGGCCCAGCTAAGACACCATCCCCCACTTCCCAGACTCACCTGCCCTCGAGGGCCACCTCGCCCCAGGCTTCCTCCACCCGCCATACAAGAGACTTCTTCCCCAGGCTCCCACCAGGAGCCCCAGGAAGGCGGAAAGGCCCTCTGCCCCCATGGGACACCGGGCAATGTCTGGGGACACCTGGCCACCACAGCTGAGGAGCGCTACTAACACAGAGTAGGGGAACGGAGGCCCAGGGTTCTGCTGAGCCTGCACAACGCCCAGGACATGACAAAGGACACTGGCTGCAGAAGGGAAGCCTCCCACACCCACCAGCCAGCAGGGCCAGCAAGGAGCAGCGTGGGGCGGGGTCCCTGTCGGGTGAAGGACGGGGCCTCGCCAAGGGCAGTGAGGGCCTGGCAGGATGTGGACTTGAAGAACAGGTGCTCACAGGAAGCTCCAGTGAGGGAAGCGGTGGGCAAGAGGCCCAGGGTCAGCACACCCGCTCTCGCTCTTCATCCAGCAGCTGCACCTACAGCCAGCACGGGGACCCGGCCTGCCCTTGAGCGAGCACGGTCAAGGGTGCCACTCCAGCACCGTTACAGCCCTGCGCCTACTTCACCGAGCCCAGGGCCGCCTCCAGGGAGGAACTGAACACAGCACCTTGTACGCGGCACTGGGGCCCCGGGAGGCCTCAGCAGCCCCTTCTCCCTCAGGACAGGAGCGTACCGGCCCTCCACGGGGCCCGAGTCCAGGGCCCACATGTGCAGCTGGCAACTGTGCCCAAGCCAGGCAGCCCACAGGCTCCAGCATGCTGGGGATGGGAAGGAACGAGGCAGATGGCTGGTGGGCAGGCTGGTGGCAGCACCCCCGCGTGGGCGGTTGCCGCAGACTTCTCCTGTGCTGTCTCCTCCGCACCGCGTCAGGAGACGCCACGCAGAGAACTGGTTTGGCACGGAAGATGAGGCCTCCAGAATCTCAGCTTTGCTCAGTCCTCCTAGAAGACCCACTTCCTCCACAGGGCCCTCTGCCCTGCGCTGCCCACACCCCGCCCTTCCCTACACTGACGGACAAGGCCATGCCACTTTCCTATCACCCTGCAGACTGTGGCTGCGCAAGGACTGACGCTGTATCTGGCTTTTCCCCACTGGATCACTTCCTGCCACCCACAGCCCTAAACGGGCACATCTGAGTCCTTCAAGAAAAGTGTGTAGATGAGAGGTCAGGTTCACGGATGGATAGATGGATGGATGGACGGACAGATGGGGGGTAGATGGGTGGGAGGGTGAGTGGATAGTGAATGGATGGACAAAGTGGGTGGATGGGTAGGTAGATGGATGGATGAATGGGTAACAGGTAGGTAGACGAGTGGATGGATGGATGACGGGTAGGCAGGTGGGTGGATGGGTGGGTGGTGACGGATGTGTAGGTGGACGGCATGGGTGGATGCATATATGATAGATGGATATAAGACTGATACATGATTGGATGCACAGGCAGATGTATGCACATCTGATAGAAGGTCGTGCTCAGCACACGAGTGGGGGCCTAATGTGTGGTGGAGAAGAGGAAGTGAAGCAGAGGCAAAGCTCAGACTTGGATCCAGTGCTGGAAGCTGAGGACAGCAAGCCCAGAGCAGCAGGGCTGCTTTCCAAGTAGAGCTGGGAGCCAGGAGCGATTAAACTTGTGCGCACATCCCTGGAGCCCAAGCAACCCTGTCTTCATTAAGGTGCTGACCAGGGAAACCTCATCAAAAATAGAAACTGAGGTTTGAGCAGCTTCCAACCCTGGCACTGCCGCCCTGCTGATAGGGTGTCTCCCGGCCTCATCGCAGCTCTGGGTGGTCCTGCCCAGAGTCTGTACGACGGAAGAAACCCTGGATCCCAGGGCAGGCATGATCCCCGGGACCTTCCGGAGCTCCTATACATCTCCTCCCTCCTCCAAGAATGCAGGGAGAATTCAAGGATGCAGACACCAAAAGTTTTCCAAAACGCCCAACTCAGGACTGCCCGGAAACCATGCCGGGCAGGCTCGCTTGGTCACCGCGGCTCCAGCCTCGCTGTCTCTCCTTCCTAGCTCCCAGGTGAAGTCTGCACA